AAGACATATTGGGAAAAAGGAATGAACCTGTTCAAAAGCAAGAAATTATGGAGTTAAGATGGACAGGAGAGAGAGTGGGTAAAAGAGGTGTGTCTAGTTTTTAAGCAGGATGGTTTGCACAACTGTACTGTGGGTTTTTGCTGGTCTATTGAAATGAACAGTTAATGCTTAATGTATTTTATCTCCTTTTTTTTCTAGTTGCCTCTTTTCTCTTAAGTTCTTATATTTTTTCTACTTTACTTTCTTTTTTTGACTTTATTTTTTTTATTTCTGACATGAATACATAGCATGAGATTAATAATAGATTGCACATGTAAATAATTTACAAACTTAAATGAATATGACAGTGTAAGAAACTAGACTAATTAATTCAAAGGACTGAAAGAAAAAAAAAGATCTGCCCTCAATGTGTTTTATATTTAGCAAACATACCTTTGAAAACTAAAAGTAAAATATTTTCCAGTTATACAAACTTGAAATATTCTAATACCTCCAGACATAGCATATAGGAAATAACAAAGGGCATAATCCAGAAGGCAAAAGAATTTGCTGTATGCTCCTGGATAAAGAAAAAAGAGCTCTCAAAATGATAGTTATGCAAGACTATGTAAGATATATCAGATGAACCTATGTAAAAGGTCATTGAAAATTTCTACAAAACAGTATCAATCTTATGTCAGATTATACACATATTTTTTCGTGTGTGTGTGTGTGTAAAAGAAGTAATTTAAAGTCAATGGAAAATGTACATATACTTTTTAAAGTTTCTAATACTAGAAGAAAATATCATACCTTGTCTTTTAAGTAGATTGTAAGTCAAAGATACAGTATAAATCTTTTTTTTTTTTTTGTGGAACCGGGGATTGAACTCAGGCCCTTGCGCTTCTGGCAAGCACATATTCCACTGAGCCATCTCCCCAGCCCCAGTATAAATCTTAAAAATTAAGATTAAACAATATTCAGAAAATTAAATATTAACTAAAAGTTAAATATTTCAAAACAATTGAACTAAGAAAAGGTTTTCGTAATAGTAAAGAATTACTAAGAATAAAACATAAGATGAATACTAGAATGGCAAATATATGACCAGCACTTCTAACAATATGAGGATAGGATATCACTCAAAGTTCTAGCATGGTGTGGACTTGGACAGTGTCCATGATGCTTACTGGTGGCCAGGTGTCACTTTTGGAACTAAGCTACTGCTATTTCCTTGATATCCACCCTGTAGACCCAGATAGAATCATGATTCATAGGGTTCAGGAGAAGTCTATTTGTAGAGTATGCTGATGGAAATATTTTGCTGCTGTATACAAAAGAGTAACTGAAAGATTGCTTTTGTATACCTCTTAGTCTTCTGTGTTTAATTGTTTGCCCTATTTGGTGGGTTCTTTCCATTCTCATTCATGGAGTTGCAGTCATTTTGATCCCTCTCTAGAATATTCTTTAGTAGTCTGTGTAGGCTTGGCTTTATCATCAGGAAATTCTTTAGTTGTTATTTGTCATGGAAGTATTTCACTTCTCCATTAAACTTGAAAGAGAGTTTTGCAGGGTATATCAGTCTGGGTTGGAATTTTTTTTCTTGCAAGGCTTGAAGTACTTTGCTCCATGCTCTTCTTGACTTGATGGCGTGTGAAGAGAAATCTGCTGTTATTCTGATGGGTTTCCCTTTAAATGTGATCTGTTTCTTTTCTTTAGTGGCTTTTAGTATACTCTTCTTGTGCTGAATTTCTAGGATCTTGAATATTATATGTCTGGGTGTGGTTTTAATTGTGTTGATGTTATTTGGAGTTCTCTATGCTTCAGTTACATGAATGTCAGATAGTTTCCCCACATTTGGGAAGTTTTCTGCTATTACTTCTGTTCATATCTTTTTTCTACCATTTGTATTGACTCCTTTCTCATTGATGCCTATTAGTCTTACGTTGTTCATCTTTGCATCATCTTGCAGATGTCGAGTTATTTTTTCTTGTATCCTAGTTATTTTTAAGAGATCTTTTCTTACCTTTTCACTAGCTGCAATGGTGTCTTTAAGGTCTGAAAGTGTATTTTCACTTTCATTCAATGGGTTTTGCCACTTTGTGATTGAGGTTTTAATCTCCTGTATAGCACTTTTAATCTGCTTCATGCATTCTATTTCTTGTATTGCTCATTCAAGAATTCCATCATTTTTCTATTCTGTTTTTTTGATCAGTGTCTTCTTTAGAAGCACTTAATACTTTTTTCATTATAGTTATGATTTCTTTTTTTACTTCAGAAATTATTTCTGATCTGATTTCCTCTTTACCTTTCTGCAGTTGTTTTTTTACTTCAGCCACTATTATTTTAGAGGTTTTAGATGTATTATTTCCAATTTCTTCTATGCTATTGTCTCCTACATTTCTTCTGGGTTGGCGCAGTGTCTGAGAATGCATTTTGCTCTTTCTCTTTGTCGTTTTGTATAGCACTGTCTTCTGACCTTGGTGTAGAGCTTAGAGTTATTACCTTAGCACCAGATCTGGGTTTGCCAAGTTCAAACTCGTCCAGGTGGGTGTGGCTTGGATCTGACTGCTGTGCTCCACTTCTTCCTGCTGCAGCACTTGGAGGTGAACCCACTGTGTCACTCTGGCAAGATGTTCTGCTCCTGGTTCAACTGGGTGGGTCTTGCCTCTAGCTTCTCTGTAGGGAGTTTGGTTGCAGGGTTCCACACTGGGCCTGTCTTATGAAGGAAGTTGTACTCTCAGCGCAGCCCTGGCCTCTGAGTGGAATAAGGATCCAGCAGGCCCCATGCAGGCTTACTCACATGCTGAGTCTGGGTCAAAGGAGGACCCAGCGAGCCCCAGGCAGTCCAACTCACACGCTGGACCTGGGTGGTAGGTGGAATGAAGACCCCGTGGGCTCTAGGCAGTCCCACTTACACACCAGGCCCGGGCTCTGGGTCAAATCTGGTTTTGTACTTTAGACTGCAGGAATAATCATTATAGCTATATAGCAAAGCAGATTGTAAATTGGAATTTTTTTTTTTTATAATTAGATGTCCTTTTTTGTGTCTAGGCACCTCCCCTTCATGTACCTGGAGTCTTGTAGGCAGACTAATTCACCCAGGTTATGTCCTGCTACTCTGTGCCATGAGGATCCTCCCGTAAGTCTGGGCCTCAGTCTGGTCCCTCCTGGGCCTAGCAGTACATCTCAGGTCACCAGGTGTAGTGCTACTGAACACAAAATAGATCAGTTGGGTCTGGCTTTGTCTGGATTCTGTGCTTGGCTCCTTCAGGCTGTGCCCCACAAAGTGAACACAGCAGCTCCTTCAAGTTCCACCCTACTAAGTGTGAAGTTGTCTCAGTTGCTCTTTTCTCATTGCTGGGACAAATACCTGACACCTAAAATGAAGGAAGGAAAGGTTTTATTTAGCTCACAGTTATTGGAGGTTTCATTCCATACTCAGCTGGCTCCAAGGCAGATTGGCACTTAGCAAAGAACAGCCTTCCCTTGCGGCGGCAAAGAGCAAAGAAAGCAAAAGGAGCTGAGTAACATCAACAATAGTTACTGAGAGGAAAACTGTCTTCCTTAAGTTGCATTCAGGCTATCTGCCCCAGGCTGGGTCTGGGTGTATTACTCACACCCCTTAACCCAGCAGTACTAAGACTCATCATCCTTGTTTGTGGATCATGAGTTAATCTCAAACTCTAGAAATCCCCATCCCATGACTGCACGAGGTTTTGGGGGGACACTTAGAGACAAACCATAACAGAAGTTATCACTTTTTGAAGGGAGATTGACTCAGGGCCTCACATTGTATTTAACACTACCCTTGAATTTACTGTGTGGCTGGCCTTGAATTCCTTGGCAGTCCTCCTGCATTGTCCTCCCAAGTGCTGTGACTACAGGCATACACTACTCCTTGATAAAGTTTTGCTTTTGTATGCCATTATTTTGTGATATATTGGTTTTCAATGCATATATCTTGCTTATCTCTTTTCCTTCATTGTTGTCTCATATTCTCCTAGAATTTCTTTTTTATTTTATTATTTTTAAAGAGAATAAAAATAGTACAAAAAATAAACATTATGAATGGTCCAGAATTTCACTAAACAAAAAGATAGAAATTCAACAATGGTTGTTATATTTCATATTGCTGTCTTTAAATTAGTTGTTCAGATAACTAGAGATTAGCATGCAAAATCATATCTGAGTGAAAGAGACCATTTTGTGAATTTGAGCTACAAGATGAAATGCCACCCTTCGTCTATTTACAATTTTCAGACTTATTTCAGTAAATTTTGTATTAGCAGTTTATTCATTACCCTTACATGATATTTATTTTTCATGTAACAAAATTCAAGTTTTAAAATACTTCCCAAGTGTAATCAAAAAACACATTACCATATGTAATAAAGTTAGGAAAGAGATGTCACCATGGTCCAGCAAAACACTTGTTGGAGAATTGCCTTCCCTTGTGTTGTGTGGATGGCGATCGTGAAGGCTACCTGTAGGAGCTCTGCGTTACGGACGCTGCTCAGTGCCCCGCCGTGATCCAGCCGGAGAAGCAGTGCTTCTGTTCTGCTGTTGCCGAGGCAGTGACTGACGACCTGGCATCAGAAATGCTCTCTGGGTGAAATAGCTCAGCGGCACAGCACCTGCCTGGCAAGCACAAGGTCCTGAGTTTGATTTCTAGTACGAAAAAGTAAACAAAAATAAGGAAATACTGTCTGGAAATTTGTGCTTATGCAAGAATTTGATTACCAAGACACAGTCAATCTTTAAAGGATTCAGCAACGGTACAGCTTTCTGGTTTTCTTTTCTTTTCGAGACGGTCACCTTATGCAGTTCTGGATGGCCTTGAACTCACTTTGTAGCCTGCACTAGTCTCAGATTCATGGCAGTCCTCCTGCCTCAGGCTCCTGAGTCCTAGGATGCACCTAAACCCCTGTCTTTCTGCTCAAACTTTTATGAGAGATATTAAAAGATCCTAGGCTGTGTGTCTCAACCTTCCTTCAATAAACGTATGTGTGATCCTTTAGGCAGCAATTACCTTCGAGGATGTGGCTGTACACTTCACCACAGAGGAGTGGGCTTTGCTGGAACCATCTCACAAGAAGTTCTACAGAGATGTGATGAGAGAAACGTTTAGGAACGTGGCTGCTGTAGGTAAGGCTGACACCACTTTCTCACTGACAAAGAATGTTGCTGCTCATCAGTGCAGTTTCATTAAGTAGAATGTGTAAACATTTTTGATGAATATCTCAGGCCTGATTACATACATTGTACCATAAATCTAACTGGAATCTTTTTTTTCCTTTAAGTCGGGACCTTGCTCTTGGCAGGCAGGCACTGTTCTGCTGAGCTGTATTCCTGCCTTTGGAATCTTCATTTTCATGCAGTAATGTAGTGTCCCCTTGTATTTCTATGTCTACAATTCAGGTAGAGCCTGGGAGCACCAAGAAGTTAAAAAAGAGCACAAAAATGGCTGTAGAAATAAAAGGTAATTTGTACTCACATAAGACCTGTTCCTCAAAAGTGAACGTATAAACCCCAATATGAGAACTAGGAAAATGTGATCATGTTCAGATTCATTTAATCTCAAAATATTCTCCAACGATGTGTATAGTTTTAGTATGTATAATCTGAAAATTGATTACAGAACTATTCCAGTATCTGAAACATATTGATGTCTTGCAACAAGTGACACTACCTGACATATAGGTACAAAACTTTTCTTTCATAATTACCTCCATGAAAATGTATGAAATCTCATTTAGGTGTTTTGTATAGGTATACATGAAAACAAATCTTGAATTTTGCCAGAAACACTTCTTCAGGATACTTATTTACATACATGTAACTATGATATCTATATAAAAAATTCAGTATGTAAAATATTAGAAACCTTGAATCAGTATTGAAAATACAAATCAATGCTAGTGTTGTAATCCTCCAGAGAACTGAATCCATTTATGTTTTAAAATTCTGACATTTTGGGTAGAAATGTTATTGTAGCCAGTATTATAATCAGTGTAAAGATTTTTCAAAAAGTAAAAATTGAATTTCCATTTGATCTAAGAATACTTCTGAGTATAATCCCCAAAATGCTAAACTTTTTGCATTATGCTGATGTAGCATATCAATACACAAAGCAGATCAATTTTTAACAGCTAAGTCATAGAATGAGTCTAGACATCCATCATTGTTTGAATGGATAAAGAAAAACTTTGATAGGCTTGGCATGTTGTTACGATCCCAGTACTCTGATAAGCAGATTCAACAGAATGGCAAGATAAAAGTCAGCCCGAGCAACTTTATCATCAATGAGAGTCTCCCCTAAAATAAGAAATAAAATCTGGAGATATATTTTATTTATTTATTTTTTCTTTTTCTATATTTTAGGGAAGGGTCTGCAGGGTATTTGGGGTCTCACTACTAGATCAGACTCATAGTGATTCTCCTGTTTACAGCCTCCCAAGTGCTGGGATTACAGGAGCACACCACATGCCCAGTCTTAATCGCCATCTCAGCATTCCCTGGGGGTGGGGCCAGCACAGCAGATCTGGGATTGAACTCCTGAGCCCTGCTCCTGTTTGCATATGCTTTAGTCCACTGAGCTATCTGGCTGGCCCAAAGCTGGAGATATAATTCAATATTTATCCCCATTATTGAAAGACAGAAAAAATGCTATCTAATTAGGTACAAAGATGAATTATAATCATGTCATTTGCACAAAGAAATGGGTGGACAAACCTTCATCATAAATGTGCAGTGAATTAAGTCAGACTCAAAATATGAAAGATCACATGTTTTGTCTTACATGAGAAACCAAAAATGTAAACTAAGAAGTAAAATAAAGGAGAGGCAATTAAAAAAGGAAAGCCTGACTTTGGAGATGAGAAAGATAAAGGTAGGAAACATCACCAATTTTGATACACATGTGTATCAATTGCCCAAAATGAAACTGGCCATTTGTATTGTGAAATATACCAATTTAAAAGTTTCTAAATGAATATCATTTTTGCGGATGGCTGTTTCCAAGGTATTTTCCTGGGCACTCATTTAATGGTCTGAATTCCTTAGGAGGAATCACACCAGACCTTGTGAAAAATCATTAATATGGAGATCCATTTTGTTGTGACTGACATTCTTTTTTGTTCATTGTTTTAAATAGAAATGAAGAGTTGGAGAAATGCTACCCAGTTAATATGCCCACCATATCTCATACTGGAATGAAGAAATATAAGCTTTTGGGATTAGAAGAGAAGCTGTATAAGTGTAGTGAACATGGAAGAAACTGCAGTGATTTTAACTCCTTTAAGAAGGATACAAGAACAAAGACTGGAGACAAATCATGTAAATATAATGATCAGTGTGAAGAATCTTACTCAGACTTTACTGAAAGAACTGAGCTTACAGAGAGGATCTTTGTATATAAGGAAAAGTTGAAAGATTCTAATGCACCCAACAATGTTCAGATCCATATGAAAAGTCACACTGGTGAGGAGCCTTATGCATGTAAGCAGTGTGGGAAAGCTTTTAGGACACCAGGCAATTGTAAAACACATGAAAGAATTCATACTGGGGAGAAACCCTATGTATGTAAGCAATGTAGAAAAGCTTTTATTACATATAGAGTTTGTAAAAGACATGAAAGATTTCACACTGGCGAGAAACCCTATGCATGTAAACAGTGTGGGAAAGCTTTTAGTACACAAAGTCAGTGTAAAATTCATGAAAGACTTCACACTGGGGAGAAACCCTATGTATGTAGGCAATGTGGGAAAGCTTTTACAACACAAGGTTCATGTAAAGTGCATGAAAGACTTCACACTGGGAAGAAACCCTATGTATGTAAGCACTGTGGGAAAGCTTTTACAAGACAAGTTTCATGTAAAGCACATGAAAGACTTTACAATGGGGAGAAACCATATGTATGTAGGCAATGTGGGAAAGCTTTTACAACACAAGGTTCATGTAAAGTACATGAAAGGTTTCACACTGGGGAGAAGCCCTATGTTTGTAAGCAATGTGGGAAGGCTTTTAGGACACAAGGTTCACGCAAAGTACATGAAAGGCTTCATACTGGGGAGAAACCCTATGTATGTAAACACTGTGGGAAAGCTTTTCGGATACATAGAGTTTGTAAAATACATGAAAGAATTCACACTGGGGAGAAACCTTATGTGTGTAAACATTGTGGGAAAGCTTTTACTACACAGGGTTCTTGTAAAATACATGACAGGCTTCACACTGGGGAGAAAGTCCATGTATGTAAGCAATGTGGGAAAGCTTTTAGTACTCAACGTTCATATAAAGCACATGAAAGGCTTCACACTGGGGAGAAACCCTATGTATGTAATCAGTGTGGGAAAGGTTTTAGTACACAAAAAAGTTGTAAAAGACATGAAAGAATTCACACTGGGGAAAAGCCCTCTGTATGTAAGCAATGTGGAAAAGCTTTTAGTACACAAATTTCCTGTAAAGCACATGAAAGAATTCACACTGGGGAGAAACCATATGTGTGCAAGCAATGTGGGAAAGCTTTTACAACGCAAGGTTCATGCACAGTACATGAAAGAATTCACAACGGGGAGAAACGCTATGCATGTAAGCAATGTGGGAAAGCTTTTACCACACAAGGTTCATGTACAGTGCATGCGAGGCTTCACACTGGTGAGAAACCCTATGTATGTAAACAATGTGGTAAAGCTTTTAGAACACAAAATAATTGTAACACTCATGAGAGAATTCACACTGAGGAGAAACCCTATGTATGTAAACAATGTGGGAAAGCTTTTAGTACACAATATCATTGTAATAACCATGAAAAGCTTCACACTGGGGAGAAACCTTATATATGTAAACAGTGTGGGAAAGCTTTTAGTATACTTAGAGTTTGTGAAAGACATGAAAGTATTCATACTGGGGAGAGCCTCTATGTGTGTAAGCAATGTGGCAAAGCTTTTAGGACACATGGTGATTGTCAGAACCATGAAAGAATTCATACTGGGGAGAAACCCTATGTGTGTAAGCAATGTGGGAAAGCTTTTAGGACACGTAGTGATTGTCATAAACATGAAAGAATTCACAGTGGAGAGAAACCCTATGTATGTAAGCATTGTGGGAAAGCTTTTAGTACTCATAGTTCATGTAAAGCACATGAAAGACTTCACAGTGGTGAGAAACCCTATGTATGCAAACAGTATGGGAAAGCTTTCAGTACACAAAAAAGTTGTAAAAGACATGAAAGAATTCATACTGGGGAAAAGCCTTTTATATGTAAACAATGTGGTAAAGCTTTCCTCACATATGGTAACTGTCAGAAACATGAAATAATCCATACTAGATAGAAAATGTAGTAAGAAATGTTTTAATATCAAAGCATTGTAAAGTGCCTCTTAAAACACCAAGGAGAACTGTATATAAACAATATGGGAAACCTTTTATACAAAGTTATTGTAAATTACATGAAAGAACTCACACTGGGAAAATACCTGTGTATGTAATCAATGATAGCTTTTAGCATAAAATTTACTTTGCAAACAGAAGTTACATGGGAGAAAGTATCCCAGCAATGTGGCAAAACTTTTGTAATAGCTGTTAACTATCAAAGAGTAAAAGAACTCGCACTTGGGCCAGGGAGATGGCTCAGTAGAATAAGTGCTTGTCTGGCAAGTGCAGTGGCCTGAGTTCAACCCCAAGTTCTGCTAAAAAAAAAAAAAGAGCTCACACTTGACATTAATTCCATATATCAAAGCAATGTGGAAGACCTTTCAGTATATCTGATGTTTTGCAAAAGAAAATGACACATTGGACGGAAAACATGTATGTAAAATATATGGGAAAGCATTTATTTTTTTGTCAAGCCACTGGAGAGAAAGTTTATGAGCATAATTTGATAATCCTGTGAAAGTTTCTCACAAAGTGAAAGCACATACATTATGTGTTTTATATTAAGTCACTTAAGTATCTGGATTATGTTTTTACAGTGTTTAATATAAGAATATTTAGTTGACAGTTATTTTTATTTGATCTTAATACATGGTGTCTTAATTAAGCATGGTGAATATAAATGTATTTTACTTTCAATTAGAATTTATGTAAATTTTGTTTGGTCTTTAAAATTAGGCATAGTGGGGCCAGGGAGATGGCTCAGTGGAATAAGTGCTTCCCTGGCAAGCACAAGGGTCTGAGTTCAATCCCCGGTTCCGCCCCCCAAAAAAAAAAATAAATAAATAAAAAATAAAATTAGGCATAGGCCATAAAAATTTATTTTGTTATTTTTTAAATTTTGAGTTCTGTCATTACATTTGTTTTAAATTTTTGGTGTGTACTCGCTATTCATGTAACAACAGATATTTTTTAATTTGATGCCATATTTTATATTGATATATTCAGAGACTTGTAGACATGTATTTTTTACAAAGTTGATTTGTTTTATATAAATTGTGTATTAGTTGGGTTTCCCATATCATGACAAGATATGTGCTTATATCCGTTAGTTGTATATTGTGTCTATTATTATTTCATTCTGGGGCAAATATTATTTATAAAATGTTTCTTACCATCAAAATTGTGATTTTCTTATTTTTATTGCATTGATTTTTAATTTTGGGGTAGGTTTTCCCCCATATGTACAAAAATAACTCAATCTACTGTGTTTCTGATCTCCATAGATCTACAGGATCCTACCTTGTATACTGAAGAATATAATAAACTGTTGTAATCTGCAGAATTACATATGACCATGTTATTTATCAGCAACTACACTTTGAAAGGAATTTTTGTCAACAGTGGTGTTTTTCTTAAAAGAATAATTATATTGAATGTAATGAGGCAAGTGCCTTTTTTCTTTTTTTAAAATATGTTTAGTACACGGTCTACAAGGTCTCAGTGCACAGATCAGACTCCTAGGGATCCTTATGTTTTCATTCTCCCAAGGCCTCATATTAGAGGCATGTGCCACTATGCTTAGTCTCATTCACCATCTCAGCACACCCCAGGGGCAGAGTCGGCATGGCCTGGGGATTGAATCACAGTCCTCTGCACTTGCCTAAACATGTGTGGTAGCCTGCTTAGCTATCTGGTTGGCCCAAAGTACCTTTTTTCCCTGATGTGTGATGCCATTATACTTTTGGTATTCATAGTTTTTGAATCACAGTCTCACTACGTAGTTCAGGCTGGCCCAGAACTCATTATATAGTCCAAGCTAGCATCAAAATATGGCAGTCCTCCTGCGTCTGCCTGCCCCCTGCTCGGACTACAGGTATGGGCCACCATATCTGCCCATCATGATTGTCTTTTATCTAATAAATTGAAACAGTGTCATTGAGGAAAACCTAACTCAGGAGAGGTATCAGTTTTGTAAACAGTGAAATTCTCTATAATTCATATGGTGGTGTTTCCCCAGATTTTGAGATAACTTTTATAATGCCATTTTTCATTGTTCACAAGAACAACTGCATGCTAGTGAAAAAGTAAGAAAAGATCTCTTAAAAACAACTAGGATGCAGAAAAAAATAATTCAATACCTGCAAGATGATGCAAAGACGAACAATGTGAGACTAATAAGCATCAATGAGGAGTTAATACAGATGATATAAAAAGAATATGGGCAAACTGTCCTACCTATTTGATTTGAAACTGTCTCATTGCTATTTGTTTATCAATAAAATTATGACAAAAAAAGAAAAATACCTGTTCCATATTATGCCTAAGATGTTTGATATTCAGACAGATAGTGAGGTTAAGCTTAACAGCCTAAGATACATGGTAATAACAATAAGCTTGTCTTCTGGATGGTTAACAACCTAAATTTGCACACCAAAATTAGAGAAAAAGGAGGGCTGCAAGGAAAGCCAACATTTTGGCCCTAGCCTTCTAAGGTCAATTAAGACTCAGGACATATGAGAACTTGTACTGTAACATCATGTAACTCAGTAGTGTCCCAAATTTTCTGATCAAGGAGATTATGGGGCTAAAGAGGAAAGTGATCGATGATGTAGAGTATGCCTAAGGAGAGTCAGATAGAGAGAAAACATTCTCTCAGGCTTTCACAGAGAGCACATTGGCCAAGCAATGACCGTGACTTATCCTCTTGGGTGACACTGACAAAGGTTCTACAATCTGAGGTACAAGATCTCAGGATAAATCCTGAGGGGATTTCACTGACCTTATCAGACCCAAAAGCTACAACTCTTGTTGCATAGGTCCTGCTTTACCTTGGTCTTAACCATCCAGCAGAAAAGTATAAAAACGAAGTATAAGAAATAAAGCCATGCTGTTATGTTGATGTATAGGGTTCTCAGGTCAACAATTTCTGACGTTGCCAGTTAAGTGGAAGACCCAATACTATTATGGGCTACTGGACTCTTTTGGAATATTTTGCTGCATTTACACACCTATAATATTCAAATAACAGAACTTAACAAAAAAAGGGTATACAGATGAATGTCCAATTTGTATCTGTGTATTCAAAGTGGTTAGGATAGATATATAATTACATTCTCTTAATGAATAGAATGATTTGTTCTAATGGTGTTTGTAGGTAGGATATCATGTCCGCATCTTGTACAGCAATTAACCACTGGGAAGATTGTATGCAATGTGTTGATTATTGAAACTGTCCTACCATTTGATTTGAAACTGACTTATTGCTATTTGTTTATCAATAAAATTATGGGAAAAAATAAAATAAAATTGGGAGAAAAAAAAAGAATATGGGCAGAAGTAATAACAGAAAACTTCCCAAATATGGGGAAACTATCTGACATTCATGTAACTGAAGCATAGAGAACTCCAAATAACATCAACACAATTAAAACCACACCCAGACATATAATATTCAAGATCCTAGAAATTCAGCACAAGAAGAGTATACTAAGAGCCACTAAAGAAAAGAAACAGATCACATTTAAAGGGAAACCCATCAGAATAACAGCAGATTTCTCTTCACACGCCATCAAGTCAAGAAGAGCATGGAGCAAAGTACTTCAAGTCTTGCAAGAAAACAAATTCCAACCCAGACTGATATGCCCTGCAAAACTCTCTTTCAAGTTTAATGGAGAAGTGAAATACTTCCATGACAAATAACAACTAAAGAATTTCCTCATGACAAAGCCAAGCCTACATGGACTACTAAATGATGTTCTAGAGAGGGAGCAAATTGATCACAGCCCCATGAATGAGAATGGAAAGAACCCACCAAATAGGGCAAACACTTAAATACAGGAGAATAAGAAGTATACAATAGTAGTCTTTCAGTTATTCTTTTGTGTTTACCAGCAAAATATTTCCATCAGCACACTCTACAAATGGACTTCTCTTCCACCCTATGGGTCATGATTCCATCTGAGTCTACAGGGTGGATTTCAAAGAAATAGCTGTAGTTCAGTCCCACAAGTGACGCCTGGGCACCAGTAATTGTCATGGTCATTATGCAAGTCCACAACACACTAGAACTTTGTGCGATATCCTATCCTTAAACTGTTAGAAGTGCTGGTCATTTATTTGCCATTCTAGTATTTATCTTATGTTTTACCCTTAGTACTTCTTTGCTATAATGAAAACTTCTTCTTAATGCAATTGTTTTGAAACATATAATTTTTAATTAATTAGTATTTAATTTTCTGAATGTTACTTAATCTTAATTTTTGTTCTAAGATTTATATCATATCTTTGACTTACAATTTATTTAAAAGACAT